TTTTATTGCCCACTTTTGCTGTGAAAGGCAAATTAATGTCTGATTCAGTCTGACACACAGAATGATTCATTATACTTTTACAGACTTTAAGTTTGTCAAGGTCTCCCTGTAAATTTAACAGTAAATAAAGTCATTTGAAGTTAATTTTACTTGTTCGCTATCAGACCTGCTGCTTTTCAGACTCCTGCAGTTTAATATTAACTTGGGTGATAAAGTGTCCCATGTGTCCATCAACTAATTTTTTTGTAGCATCTTGTGCTTTACCAGCACAGACATCAGGACACATGTTAGTGCTTTAAGCTCAGGGGAAATACAAAGGTGGTGCTAGTGTGCTGCCAGTTAGCGTTGGGTTTGGATAGCTTGTTTGGGGTGTTTGGATCCATTGCCCCATCAGTAAAACACGCAGATTTTTTTTTAAGCTCCAACAATTAGTAATTAGTAATTTATGCCTATGAGTAACCAGGATTATTTAAAATGTATGAGCCCTTTTTTCTGCTTCAGAAAAGCAGAACATAAGGACAGTGTCACCGGTGACACTGTCCTTATGTTATTTAAACGGTAAAGCAGAGTGTAGCAGCAGAATCTCACAAAAACCCGATTGAAAGTCAGAGCTGCAGAATAGTTCTGGGATTTTGAACTTAGTGGTGCACAGTGAACAATTTGCTCAGAAAGTTGTGAGCCATTTCATTAGGAGTTGGACTTGGTTTGATAATACTCACCATCATTATGCAGTCTGAATTGGTTCATGGTTGTCATTGAGGGGAAACAGAAGCAAACCCTCTTTATAGGATCTTAACGGCACAGTGTGAGGTAATGCTGGAAGTGATAGGTTCTCCCCTGGGATTGATTAGGCTCAACCCTGTAACTTTCACTTAATGGGATATGACCCCTCAGAGCCCCGAGTCTCCGACAACACACACGCCTGACCATTACTACCACACACAGTTCACACATTCCTCCCTCAGTCCTCACACTCCCCACTGCACCAACTGCTGTTTAGTTTAAAATGAGGCTGCCGACAATTAACTATGTGACATCAAGGTTATTCTCTGGCTGTTGCCTGCTGGGTAAACTGTTCCAATTGGTCCCCAGCAGCTGACTCAGTAGAACAGTAAGCAGGTCTCTGTTATCACAGCATGGTTTTAAAAAGCCCGCTGAGGATCACACCATGCAGTCTAGGGTTTCACCAACTCCACCAACCAACCAAACTATTAGCTTACTGCTTTGCCTTGGAAACATGTGAAGTCTGTTATCCACATTTGTCCAGTTACTGCATCAGTAAATATAACAAAATTACATGAAAATGCTAAGTTCACTGTCAACAGCATTTTGGTTCTGGCATGGATTTTCTCCCTTTAAAACGAGAATGTGTAACTTCTTAAAGAAGAAATAACATAAATCATGAAACTTTGTATTTATCAATAAAACCAGTAACTTATGGCAGCTAATGTTAGCAAACGTCAAGTAAATATTGCCCTTATGAACATTTTGCTGTCTTTTCTGTGCTAATGTTAGACTATATTTTAGCATTAGCATTATCCTACAATTGTCACTTTTTCTTGTTTAGAAAAAGTAATGAAATAGGTCTACTAAGGTCTGTTGTAAAGCCAACAAACTGACTCTGTAATGTCATTTCAATATCTAAACTCTATATAGCAATATATAATGCCTGCATATAGCTAGTATGAGCTTGCATTAGCCACTGATGCTAATAATACCAGACAAATAGGGGTTTTCCATGGTAGGAACCCACCGAAACGTCGAATCGTGTGACATTTGTCACAGGTTCTGCATTCGTTTCCACTGCCCTCCGCCTGCTTTGGATGTGTGTTTTGGGAGGTAACTTTCAAAAAAGGTATTATTTCTTCCCTTTCTCTCTTCCCTTACATACAGATTTTTCAAAATCAGAATAAGGCCTTTCCAGGTTTCTGAAACCAGAATATGTTGTAGCATGTTACATCCGCAGAACATAATTGGGACACTCCAAACAAATGATCATAACCAGGATACTTGTGTGTAAGTTACTTTGTCCAGTAAAGATAATGTTAATTTATTATGTTTTTTCAGTCCTTGGTAGTTGGTGCATCTTTTTTCAGGGTAGGTAAAATAGCAAGGGTTTTGGTTTGAAAGCATGCTCCAGACAGATCAGGCCAACCAAAATCCAAGCTCCTTACTAATTTCAAGTTTTTAGTGACATAAAGCCTCTCCAAGTCTGTCTGGTTTCAGCATAATCAGGTCTGCCAGTGAGAGGATTCTTTCCATGAAGGAGCTAAGCTGACATCCCCACAGGCACTAACTTGTGGAGAGGAACATTCATATTTTCTTCTCATTTGGTTGTGTTCCCATTTATGTAATAGGTCACCACAATAACAAATGGATTATTTACGGTAAAAGCCTAATTTATCCACCAGATATTAATCTCCCTTCCCCTGCTGTCTTGTGATTCACCGCAACGACAAGCAGAGCTTTTAAATAAACACTGACGGTGACCAGAGCGATGGAGGGCCATCGCTCATGGTGAATGATGATCCCCTCGACTGTCTTTATGCACTCAAAGGCCTAAACAGTTTATTTCGTGTTTGCAGTCAATGGAGGGAAACCAGATCATCGGAGGAAGATTGTTTTGACCTGATAAGTAGAAATGAGTACATTAGGGAGAAAAATGGAGCAAAACACTAAAACTGTGGGATTAGTCTTGTATTCACTCTACACAGACAGATGCCACATGCTGCAAAACTCCTGTGTGAGAATGTCCTGTAGGCCCACTGACAGACCTGTCCTTTTATGCATAGTGGTTGACAAAATAATGTCACAACAATGTACATTTAGTAGCTGAAACTTGCAGTCATACCAGATGATCGTCCTCAGCAGAGTTTGCACACTTTTTACTAAATTATAGATGAAAAAAGATATTGGCACTCTAGGGGTAAGGTTCTCAGTCTAGAGTTCCACAACAACTGGTCCAAGTCCATCTGATTTGATCAAAAAGTCTAGATGGACCTTCTCTTAAGACTATGTTGTCAACTGCTTTTTTCGGTCTGAGCTTTAAACCTTATTATTATAGAATTTGGGCTGCAGCTATTGATTATTTTCATTATTGATATTTCTGCTGATTGTCACAAAATGTAAAAGGCACCCTCAAGATATCCGATTTAAAATAATATACAACAAAGAAAAGGAGCAAATTCTCACATTTGAGAAACTGAACTGAATATTTAGTATTTTTGAAAATGTGCTGAAACAATGAACAGATAATCAAAATAGGTGGCAATTAATTGTATGTCAATCACCTAATCAATTAACTAACTGGTTATTTCAGCTCTAATTAGAATCTATAATTTTCTTCCCTTTAACATAGAATCTGAAGATGACTGACAGATGTGCCTGCTTTTTTTTTTTTTTTTTTTTTTACCGTTTTTTTTTTTTTTATTTTACCGTTTTATTTTTTTTTTGCTGCCTAGTTCTGACACTGTGCCCACAAGCAGGATTCAAAACCTCACTCTATTGTGCACTTTTATCACTTATAATGTAATATAATGTGCCTTCATCAGCTCCTGAGCCACTATGTTAATGTTGGCTAATCTGACTGTGACCCATGATTGATAAACTTTCCCCAAGTGTGCAGGATCCAAAGGATTAACAGTGTTTACTCCTAGTAGCATGGTGGGTACCTCTGCTGTTAATGACTGGAATTAATAACCTGCTGACGCCTATGAGACAGCTGTGTTTATGTACACGCGGAGACATGACAGTCTGCCCTGGACATTGAGTAGTTGTAAAAGTGTCTGCCCCTGCCCAGAAAGGTTTGTGTTTATATGTCACTTATGATGATGATGATATTCGTTTTAGTCTAAAATGATTCTTTCAAAATGTCTTTTCTGTGGATTGGCCTTTAACATTTTTGGGTCATGTGACTTACTGAGGTATTAATACCACTAGATTAGTGCAGTGTTTACATTTCTTCCTCTCTATGTACAGTATCTGCTCTCTCTTTCTCTGCTTGTGGCTTTATCCCCCTCCCTCCCTCTCTCTCTCTCTCTCACACACACACACACACACACACACACACACACACACACTACAGGCCATGAGAACGGGGTAAATCCTTGACAACTTGAAACCTCACACAAAGAGCAAAACTCGGGGGGACAAGAGAAATGCAACACCGTACAGTAGCCTAACCTCCTCCAGCTAACATAGACATGTATGCACCAGATACCGGGTGTGGCTGCCTTTCCGTACAAAGCCAGAAATAAAGAGCGAAGCTTTTGCTTTCAGCAACAAGACCCCCAGGTGACCTTCCTTATTGACCCCAGCATGACCCCATAGTCAGGAAAAAGAAGCAAAGCACCCGGAATCGCTGCACAGGAGTCAAATGCACAGGGTGTGATTACAATAGCCAACAAGGAAGGCGCTGTCATTGTGTGCTGACAGTAAATCAGTATGAAGCTGACAGTCTGAGTTCTTGAGCCTGTGTGCCCACCTTAAAGGCCAGCACACTCATAAGTCAAACACATTTCTCTATCCACGCTCTCACTTTGAGCGTAGCCTGAAGACTTTGGTCATCCGTGTACTGTTTCTTAAATATTTCTCCACAGCTGGGCTGGTTTGTCTGTTTCGGGTCAAATACAGGTTCATGGTTGTGAGGTGCAACTGTACTAGGCTTACACCAAGAAGTGTGTCACGCCAAGCTTTAATAGCAGCTGGTATTGAAAACTGTGGCCTACTGAGCTCACATTTCCACTCTCAAACCCCCTGAAATGACTGCCTCCATAAATTAAAAGTATAATCATTGGCCACTGCAGCTTGGTTTGAAAGCAAGATAACAACTGAATTACACTTTGTTTTCAAGCACCCTTGTGTGCACCATCCCTGTACACTAGACAGACCCCCTTCCATCTTAACTCAATTCTAAACAGTTATCTTTTCTGTTTACTCTGCTATGTGACCGCCATTTAAATCCTTTGTAAGTTACATGTTACATTGCGTTTCATCCACAGTCGACATGGAGCACATGAGGACAGTGAAGGCTGACAAACACCAGCGCTTCTGCCAAGAGAACAGCCTTATCAGTCAGTTTGTCTCAGCCAAGACAGGAGACTCGGTCAGTACCAGCTGATTCAGTAAGCTACAATAACAAATATGGAGTACAGAGTGACTCTGATACTAATACCTTGTCCTACTTTTGTTTTCATTGCTCTCCACAGGTGTACCTTTGTTTCCAGAGAGTGGCTGCTGAGATTCTTGGTGTAAAGCTAAACAAAGCAGAAATAGAGCAGTCCCAGGTGACTCATAATGTGATCATGGTCTTTCTCACAAATTTAAGTATTTTTATGCAGTTGCCTTTAATGCCGCATTATAAACAGCTTATTTTCTCCTAACTGGGAACAGATCAGTTTTTAAATTTATAATGGCTTAATAAAACTGTGAAACTAGCTGATGATTTTATTGGGTTCCTCTCACCTAGCGTTATTTGTAACATTATACCTGAACTTAATGGAGGTCGCAGTGAGTGTGTTAGGTCAGTGGAGGTCACCACACACTGTAAGGGACCTTTCTGTGTAAATAGGAGTTTGTTACGTCTGCCCCCTGTGATGGTTTACCTGCCAGTGATGCTGCCCATCTGTAAATAGACCCACACTGACCACATTAACGCATGAAGTCAGAGGTTAAAGGTATGCAGTCCGAGGGGTGAGGAGGTTAGGGTTGGCTGTCTGATTTATTTGGTTTATCTCCCACCGTTTTGGGCCAAAACTGTCTCAGCTTGCCAGCCAGACCAAGGTGCCCTGCTGCAGGATTTACAAGGTCACCTCCCCCACAAGCATTAATCCTGTGTCTGATATGACCAGTTGGAGCCACATTGGCTGGGAAGTGGTTGATGAGCCTGGGGGCTACGGAAAGGTCAGGACCAACAGAGAAGGGAGAGCATGTAGGGGAAGGACTGGCCAAATTCTCAAGCCCTTCTCCCATCACCAGCACTGCTGGTGACAAACTAAAAGTGATCATTGACTAATGAAGCTGTTCTTCCCCTCCATGTGATAGCGCTGTCAATAAAGCAAAGTGGTCTAATCCAGGCTTATCAAGCAGGGCGAGTGGTTTGATCCAATTTGTTCTTCAAGAAGAAAGGTTGAGACCAGTAGACAAACACAACATTGTGTTTTTCATAATTTGTATGTAGATAAAATCTTGTGCAGTTTACTACTGTTATCACAGTAAGATAAACTGAGGGCCATGGCTCTTACTGAAGAATGGAAGAAAACGTTTATTATGCACCAGTCAAAGTATCTAACGGACACCACAACACATCTGATACCTCATGTAATACAGCTAATATATGAGATAATACAAATAATAATGTATTACATTATTAGCATACAATACACTAGCGTACAACATCCTATACATTTGTAATATGTGATCAACTGTCATGTTATTCTCATGATTGTGGAAGAGGCTTAATTACTTTCCTATCCTCATCAATAGATTTGTATCAACACTGTTTCCACAAAAAATACATGTTTAATGAAACCTCAAAAGTATGACAGGGTTCTAACCTTAAATAAGGACATTTTAACAAATTTGAATGTCTATTGGTTTGGTCTGCAACTACAACCAAGTATTAATTCTGTTATAGATTTTTTTTTTTTTTAATCAGTCGTTTGGTTTATAAAATGTCAGAAGATAGTTTTTTAAAAAAAACCCTCACATTTCCAGATCAACAGTGATATTTTCAAGTGTTTTCGCAGCAGATATTCGGTTTAAAATTATGAAAAACACAGTAAAGCAGCACGATTCTCAAATTTAGTTGCAGATTAAACATCTGTTTGATCAGTTAGTATGGTATACAGAACTCTATTTTAGATCTGTCAGTTTTCTACCTAAAAACACTATAAAATTTGATACAATCGGCAGAAAGACAATATAGTTTTATGTTGTGGAAGGAATGAGTCATGGATACAGAGATGAGGTTTTGAGCAGGCCGTGGCTCTTGGTCTCGCCGTGGGGCCAGAAAGGCCTCATTATCATCTGTCAGGTTTAGGGAGCTGAACATGGGGGTCATAACCCCTGACAGTATTATATCTGCATGGCAGCCCTCTCCGTCATGGTCCTCTGTCTGTTGGATCAGATAGCGAGGCCACGGATCACTCACTGACTCTGACACCAGGCTTCGTCAGCTCGTTAATCAGACCACGCACCAGGGTCTGGTAGTTAGCCATGTGGTCAGTAGCCTGGGTGGCAGTGCGGCAGAGTTCAGCAGTCTGTTGCACCATTAAGATCAAATGAGGGCTAATCTTTCTTCCGCAGACCAAAATTCTACTGTTGCCCTAACAGAAAGTTGTAGCTCTAGGTTACATATAACTTAAAAATAAACATTTCCACAGTTTTAGACATCACACCTTGGTCAGAAAAAGTGGGTGACAAATGCTGCATGGTTTGGCAACAAAAAATATAATCCCCTATTATAAACCAAACCCCAAATCAGGAAAAGTTGGGACGTATGTAAAATCAAAATTCAAACTGAAAATAGTGATTTGTAAATCATCCGAGTCCTGTATTACATTGAAAACAATACAAATGATTTGCCAAACAATTGATAATCAATTAGTTGTAACAGAACAGGCTATTGATCATGAAAATAGTCATTAGTGGAAAACCTTGATTTACAGTGTTTTCTCAAGCCTAAAGCACTTTGTGTTTTTTGTGAGGCACAGATTGTTGCTTAATTTTTACATTGCTGTGAAGCTTCCATTTTTGTCTGCTGTTTACATTTCTTCTCATCTCTCACACTCAATGAGCCTGTCTCGATTTCATCTTGGTCTCCATTCTTCTCAGTCTTATCATCCTCTACCACATCTGTCTTTTTTCTTTGTTTGTCCCTTTGCTTTCCTCCATCTGTCCACTGATATGTGTCGAACCTGCTCAGAGGATCGTGAAGGCAGAGCTGGTGGACTACCCACAGGATGAAGGCCCATTTAGACAAGAGAACAACCAGCAAAGCAAAATATGTTCTGTTCAATAGTTGGAAGTATGTCTCCACAATTACATAGATGTATTTCAGTAGATGTGTTTTATATCTGTTAGAGTAGAAAGTGGTGATTTAGATTAGAGCTGTGGAAAAAGTAGAGAAACCTATCCTACTCCCACCCTCGCTGTTGTAATGTTATTATACAAGCCCCTCTCAGACATGGTAGCTGTGAATTTGCAGGCTACATGTAGCAGTTGCTTTTCTGGCACTTACTGTATAGAGCTGCTGCATGTGAAATTTAAAGAAAGGCTTTGTTCAACCACAGTAGGACCCAGACAGGTTCAGCCATAATCTTCACACGATACCTACCATCACACTCCATTTAGTATTTATCTTGTCAGTAATTTCTTACTCTGCATGGAGGATGAGCAGGTCTTTGATTTCCATGTCGGGCCAATTTTCAGCCATTCGGCATTAGCTCACATTGCTGTACCAGTTCTTTTCATATTTGTGCCCAAATTTCAGTGGCGGTCAAGTGAGCTAGAGAGCGAATGAAGAGAGGGAGCGGGTTCGTGTGCCCTCACTGGGAGTTTCACTACTTCACACATGTAGCCAGTGAGAACGTGGCCGGATGTTTGCCTAGGTCAGACAAGGTAAAGTTGCAGGTAACTACATGACGTGGGGCTTTGTTAAGACATGGTGCCTAGACATAAAATAGAATGCACATTTCTGGCTAGGTGTGCATGTCTGAAAGGGGCTTATACAGAGTTGACTGTATTGTGCTAAGCCATTTTAGGAATCCAAGCTTTGTGTTTTTCAGTGAGTTGGTTGAGGCGAGAAAAACCTTCAGGATGGAAACAGTTAAGACTCCAGTGTGACTTACCGCTACCTCTCAACTAGATTCTGAGCAATGTAAAAAGAGGCAGAGCTTTTGGAAACAAGCTTTCTTGGGGAGAGTTACACTGTTCTCATATCTGTCTGTTAAATAGAAGCCACAGCCAGGAGATAGTTAGCTTAGCATAAATATTTGCTGCAGTCTGCGCTATTTGCCTGACAAAGTCACAGTAATGACACGTTGGTGCACCCAGCCAAGAAGTTATCCATCAAATTACTCCCTTTAAAAGAGCAACTGACTGTACTCTTTCTATACTGTGGCTTTAATAGACTGTAGATAAAGATCTAGGATGTGACAGCTCCCAGAAGTGAAGCCAGTTTGATCACCCCCGGTGGCTGGTGGCAGTACAGTTCCTAAACCCAGTGTTAGCGGATGAGGCGTGAGCCAAAGTACAAAGGAGATTTCTGTCATTTTAGGTAGATATTATCACACTGATTTGAGTACAAGCAGTAATTTTTCTGAAAACCTTATAACTAAAGTTATTTATATAAAGTGCATGATTTATGTATGATTTGACAGCTTTGACTGGTAGCCTGATACTGTGGCACCACCACCTTAGGTACTTCTAATGTAAACAGATTATTTATAACTGTTGCTGTTCACAATAAAAGCTGTCTGTTGAACTGTAGGATGCTTTCATTGTGAAGAAGTTCTAAGAAATGCAATATGTTTGTCACAAAGTAAGCAGAGCTTCATTAGCGGTACCATTTTTCAATAAAAACAGACAGAAACAGACACACATGGTTATATTCTGATCAGAGGATCACTTTTAAATATTGCAGGGAGGAATAGTATCAATGGTAACAGCTGCTCCTGCTTTTGGTTTATGACTAGCACACCTCCAACACATCATCAAGGTAAACAACGTTACCTTGCTAGATGGTACAGTGGACAAATAGTCACAACATGCCTGTTTGTATCGACTGTTATGCAAAGTTAGTCTAACTAGCTGGTGGCTGTGCCTTCATATTTACTGTACAGACATGACATACTGTATATCACTCCTCTCATCTAACTCTCACCAAACCAAAAAGCAAACAATTGCATTCCCAAAGACGTCTTTCTTTAAAGTGGGTTTGTTTTTTTGACAGTGATTATTACTTAGGTTTTAGTTTGGAGTAGGTTTGGCTTTATCTTATTGTAATGAACTGTTAACCTCATAATATATCCTCACTCTCTAGAACCCTTTGTAAAGCTGTCAAATATATCTGTAACCTCAGTGAAGGTCACTGAAGCCTTTTTGTTTTTTTATTCAGTTATTTTGCATGTCACTCTATGATGACTGTGTTCATATTGTTGTGGCAGCATTTTAATTATGTTTGTGTCTGTGTTTGCATCTTTTCAGCGTGTTGTGAAAGCAGACATTGTGAACTACAGTCAGGACACTGTGGCCAGGACAGTCAACCCCCCTCGCAGCTCCATGTGTGTGGTGCAGTGATTCCTCCAACACCCACACACACTGAAAGCTGTATAGTTGTCTTCAGTCAGTATTTCTCTTTCAGGATTTTGGGGTGACTGGATGAGATGTGTTCAGAGTGCGTTCTCTGTATTTGTGTGTGCCAGCTGTAGGGGTGCGATGAAGAACAGACTGTGTGGTTTAGAGACCCTGGCTTGTAGTTCAGATATTTGGCAGGAACGATTTCTTGGGTGGTTTACCAAAGAGGAAATGAGACCTCAGTTTTTCCAAGTTTACAAGCAGCTATAATTTTATTTCTATGATTTACCTTAAACATATATACTGTATATATTAAAAAAATACATTATAAAAAGCGATTACTTGATTTATGTATCACCTTGTATTACCTGGTTGGTTAAAGGAGAAAGGCAACTGCTGTGACCAGTCAGTCTGATAATTTAACATATTTTTATACATACACACACACACACACACACACACACACACACACACACATATATCTTTCTCTGCCATTGTTATTGGGGGCATTTATTTCACTGATAAATCATTGATTAGGTATGTACTAAACCCAACACCATCAACACCTACTCAAGGTACCTCTGTCTCTACAACTGCTAAGTGGATTCATGCTATGAATTACTGGGACAGTGACTGGGAGGTGAACCCAAATGCTCTCTGGCACATTTAGATATTCTTTAACTATATCTGTGGTGCTCATCAGTTTAACAGATGGGCAAAGAGGTATTAAAAGGCTGTAGAAAACTGAAATAAATCAATTTGGAAATTTGGGGCTTGCACTAGGAGTCCTGTGACATGGATGGTGTACTGTTATTTTACATACAAATATTTCAGTTTTGCCATCTATATTTATTCTTCAAAATATTTCCAGTTAATTTGAATCTGTCAAATACTATATCTATTCTCCAGATGTTTCTTGTTAATTCTGCGTTACATTTTAAAAATGATTTGACATCCCTTGGTCCGTTCTGATTGAGGACAATGGAGCTGCTGTGTTGATAAAGCTAGATGAAGTACCTGACTGTCAAGCTGAGTGAAATTGGGCAACATTTTACACAACCTTATTCAACTGTCCATTATAGAACAGATGTTTTCATTGAAGAATGGCTGTGACACATTAAATGTTTCATAGAGCTTAATTCTGACCACATTTTAGCCTGTTTTACAGTTTGTGTATTGTTAGAGATGAATGAAATTTTGTACATTTAACCAGTTTTGCCCATATAGTTTCTACATGACAGATAATGTTGGCATGATGAGACTTAATGTGATGTCCACAGACTGAAATATCATCATATGTGTAAACTGTGATGTACATTCCACTTCAAAGCTCCTTTCACTGATTTGGAAATCTGAACACATCCTGTAAATCCTGATCATGTAAGCAAAATGTACGCTTAAACAAAAAGTAAGAATGTGCGGTTTAAAGTGAATGTTTAGTTGATGTCATACAGCGATGCCGTTTCGAGTTTTTAAATAAAAATGCTAGTCATGATTTGTGCATCTGTTTTTCAGTTGCAGTTGTTTATGATATTCTTTGTGGATTTATGCCCATGAAGTAAAATATCTGCAGGTCTTAAAAAGTCTTTAAAAGCACTGAAGGTTGTTTCCTCAATAAAGGCCTTAGAAGGTATTCAAGCATTTTAGATTTAATTTATGCAAGTAATTACAAATGTTTTTGTATTCAGTTGCAGAGAAAACGGCAGAGACATGTTATACCTAGAGTCCATTCTGCACACAGAGGCCCATTCAGTACCTTTTTATGGAGTCAAGTGCCATTTACTGTTTTGATTCCAGCAAGCTACAAACTTATCAGTGCCAGTTTTCAAGTTATACTCAAAAGATAGATTTTCAGTGGACTGTTCCTTTATCTGGGGATAGTAGGTAGTAGCCCACTGCCTCAAAGGACAAGTTTCCATTTTCACAAAAACCCAGTCATTAATCCATCCATCTGTTTCATCCATTTTCTGGCAATATGTGGACAAAGGATTGATTTAAAAAAAAAATCAGCATATTAATCAGTAATGAAAGTAATTGTTAGCTGCAGGCCTAAATTTAATTCAGTGTGGTCTTAAAATGTATTTTGAGGAACCCTGCAGATATCCTGACTTAGCAAATGATGTTCGTTTGAACAGTATAGTTTTACTAAAATACGAGCTCTGCTAATGTGTGCAGCCTTTCTCATTACTCAGCCTTTGTTAACTTGTTACCACATTTGGGCCTTGGTGTCACTGTAATTTTTCACTCCACAATGATAACATAAACCAACAGAAACAGGCCCTGGAGGTGCTCATATGAGCAGCAGATGATGGGAACTGGTGTATAGCCGACGAGGGCATTACAGATTAAGGATACATGTGTTGAAACTTAAGCATAAGGACTGAAACTTGACCACCCCAGAGATCTGCCACCTGGTCTTTGTTCAGTAAATCTTCACTGAAACAGCCCCTAAATCCATTCTGGACAGATGATACAAACGACTTTTTAAATGGTTGTAAGCTGTATGAATTAATCACTTAAAAAGTCTAGGGTTTAGCCTATTTTGCTGATTCAATGTCACTGAAACCAGTGGTATATTTTGAAGGATTAAACACATTCAAAACCACAGAGACTGACAAAATAAAGACTGTAAAATCTTTTCAACGTGCCTGTGTGTCTTTTGCAGAGGTGCTACAAACAACACACTGAGACTTAAGGCCGACTTGAGGCAGCCCAGCTGAGGCCATTCCAGCACATGTGCATTGTTTCGCTTGAGTGCATGTCTTAGGAACTGTCTCTGCTGAATTTTTGTCAAGAGCTGTCACCAACAATGACAGGCGAGACTTACCCTTGGCTTTGCTGCTGTTTAGACAGGTGCTTTTGCAAAGATAACAACTGCAGCCCATTTCCAGCTTAGACATTCACAACAGCAGAGTTCTCCTAAAGACAGAAGAAAAGAATATCAGAGTTTGAACAATGCCTAGGGATGCCTGGCACTCATAGTTGTCAGTTTGCATCAAAATGAATTTGCCTTTTGCTTCCTCAGTAGCACTGTGTGAATCACTTTGTGTGTTAGTTGGTTTTGGTGTTTGCTCACTCTCCATTTAGGTATACACACCTAAGATGCAGACGTAAACAGACCAACTGTACGATGTATTTGTTGATATTAGTTAACCGCTGTGACACGTTAAATTTGCTCACTACTTTGTGATCTCAGAATAAGTTCTGCTCCACCATGAAACCAAAACACTTCATCCCTCTGGAGGTCGTTGCCTCTTCTGAGCTTTCAGTCTGTGTTTACTTGAATTCAGTGGGCACAAGTGCCGCTTTTCTTGAAATTTTCTTTCCTCTTTCTCCCAGTCTGTGTTTCTCATTGCTAAAATTCTGCAATGACAGTCTCAAAAAAACCACATACGACAAGCTGGTAAGAGGGCAATAGTTGTGGGCTGTGCTTTTACTTTTTTAGTGCGGGCAGAGTGGAGCCAACACCCTCATGATTACCCACTCACCCTCTTCCGTTTTCCACCTGTGCAGAGTGCCAGACCCACAGTGTGGAATAGGCAGGACTGAATCAACCCCTCTGATGAGCTCCAGTCTCCCCAGTCCCTACACTGGCTTCTATTCTCTGTCTGCGCTGGGCCAGAGCTGGCATCTATTTATTCAGAGCCCTGAGGTGAGCCAGCAGTGTTTAGTTCCCAGGGTACTTCAGAGGATTGCTCTTCTGTGCTGTCTGTGGGTGTCCTTATGCGTGTATGTGTATTAGTAGATTGTGATCTGAGAACTCCGCTCGTCTCATTTACACACTGCAGCTCATGCAGACAAATGGGACTGTCCTAGTAGATGCCATGTGTCTGCTCCATCTGAAAGACACATGATTTATTTTAGGGGCAAGGATGTGGCCATTCAGAGGGGTCATATTTATAGTCCGTTGGTCTGGTGAGAAGACCTGCCAGTAAAAGCACAGAATATGAAAACGAGGCATGGGTACAGAAAACTCCAAGTCTCTCTTGCTTTAGAGGCTATGGATTAATGCTATTTTCAGTGGGCTGTAATGAATAGCAGTCAACACTGAAAAGCTCTTGTATCATATTTTAGATACAGAGAAAAACAGAGAAATGAGAAAGCAACAACAAAACAAGGGGCCTCATAAGAAGGCATGTGATAATATTAAAGTATCAAAACACACAACAGGTGGTGTTTAAGGATTTGACACAGTGATGCAAATCTTCATTTAAAAAAAACGTCACACAATGAGAGTATCACATACTCCGTGCTTTAAGCTTGGAGGGCGGCTCTGAAACGTTTGTAGCTTGCTGTATTCACAACAGTTACAATGGATTCCAGTGGCGACCCAAAGTCAAGGCCTATAAACATCAAAACATCTGTAGAGATGTCTCAAACCAATCCCGCAGCACAATCCATATACTTAGCATGTTTCCAACAGTCATCTTGAACCAGTAAATCACAAGATATGTTGCTGCTGGTGAAGCATCAGAGGCAAAAGTGTAATGCAGAAGAAATGTGTTTAACCATGTCATGAAAAAACTAGTAGTGCTTGATTCAGCACGTTTGCCAACAAAGAAATATCATAAAGCTTCTCAGATGTGAAGATTTGCTGATAGTCCTAGACTTCTGTGATAGTAAACTTAAGGGGGATAGTTCCTAGGTTTTTTTGACACTAAAGAGTGAAACTGCATTTGGAGTCACAGTTAGATTCTGAGCTGGAAAAAAGAAGAAAATTGGCACTACTGGAAGTTTCGCGTTTGGTCTCATGCAATATTGTATTTTAATGCATTCCTGTTCAGGGACTTAAAATCAGGGAGGAGAGAATGGAAATTTATACAAATACCCTCAGCACCTGATCTACAACCACAGACTGATCGCTGCAGCAGAAGGCTTTGCGGCTGATATTTAATGTCTGGAGAAAGCAGGTCTAACATTTGCGGCACTGCTGTCAGCATGACAGCTGTCATTCGAGACTTTGTCAGTGTTAAGAACACATGTGAGGAAGGAGAGGGTGTGTTTTGAATGATTTTACTTTTTGAGAGCAGAGAGAACAGACCCTCTGTGAAATTTCCTGCTATGATTTTGAAATAAGAGCTGTGTATTTTTTTAAAACTATTGCCAATCACTACCATAAAAGTCCTGAGATTTAACACCCTGGCCTGTTTAAACTGTGGCAGTTTGAAATCCCCTACAACTCGAGCCCAGTCTTACTGAGATACTATGGCGCTGGCAGAATGGCTGCATGTGTGCACATTATAGTGAAAGGTTAGCGGCTGTTTCTGTCCTGAGGAGCAGATGATGAATGAACTTTGCCTTTTCAGAACTGATAATTGAGAACTCTTCTGACTTGCAGGCCTGTATAGAGCATGTGTTTGATAAAGGATCTGCTCCGTTGGAAGGAAACAATGATATCATCATGTAAAAATCCAACACCTGAGCACTTATCCTTCCTTTCAGCGCCTGAATCCAGGCTGTGCCATACTTCAACAAAGAGATGGTTACTGGGTGGGACCAGAGTTGGGTGTCACTACTTACTGCATCTGTTAGAAGATAAATATACATAAAGCACAGTGAAAAAATAAGGAGAGAGGCAGATTACATGGTCATTACTCAGCTCTGCTTCACTTGGTCTCTTTTTTCTTTGTGATTCCTCTCTCATTGTTCCCCAAAATACCTTGGATATAAAACCTGATACAAGAGCCATTCAGTTTTTTAAGTGCTATTCATTACAGCTTTCTGAAAATAGCATTTATCTAAAGATGACACTTTGAGGCTTTTCAAAGGACTACTTAGGAGATGCTGCAGCCTTAGAGACACTGAAAGTGTGAATATGGATGTAAACGTTCCACTGTGGCATTTTTTGAAGTGGGAAAGAATGAATCTGGGATTAAGTAAATGCCTCTGCGGAGAAAAAATGGTCAGAGCCAAAATGAATTGAGCATTATTGTTAATTACAGAGGATATATCCCCTCTGGGTTTGTGGAAGTATGCTAATTCCATGTTGATCTGTACCTCAAATTATGTCCCATTTAACATGCGACCAAGTGGAACTTTCACTCCATATTCAACTGGAAAATTCATCCAGTGTGGAGCCTCAAACATAAGTTTCTTGTTCAGATCTCACTGGCAACTATGGAGAAACAATGTGTGATGATGATGACATTTTATTAGTACAAGTCCACGTTTATTGACATCCATGAGTGACTGCGTCAGGCTTTCCTTTCTCTACAGGGACGATTACTCAAACTGGCAAAATCTGTTGAAATGAGATAGAAATATTTCTGCCAGGTGTCTTCATAAAAAAAGTGTGCTGCATGATGTACAGGGTACATATCATTAGTGACCCTCCTCAATGTCAACCTTTCAGGAATCAAGAAAAACAACTTATTTTGAGCTTGATGACTGTGCATTTCTCAAGGTGTCCAGAGGGATTTGAAACGGTTTCACATGGTCAGATAATATTCTCAGCTCAAAGAAGAACAATAAATAGAAAGATACATTTATATGAAGTGAGGAACCGGTGAGACAATGAAATACAACCCAGGATGTCCAGTTTATGTTCTTGAGTTTTTTGAAGGTGTATCAGAAGGGATACTCTGCAAACCAAAAACATATCGCATGGTCTCAATATGTCTCATTACAGCAGCTTCTTTTAATTGTTGCCATTACGATAACAGAAGTAAAAAGACACACACAGTCAACCATTCCCGTTTCTCCTTGTCTCGTTTCTCCTTGTCTCGTTTCTCCTGGTCTGTTCCATACTTTGTTCTGAAGGGGGCACAATCACCTTTATGATACAAGACAGTTTCCTGGGACCTACACTCTTTAAAGATGGCAGCAGCAGGAGGCAATGCTATACTACAGAGACAGAAGAGACCCCACCTGCACTAGAGTCATGGGTGAGAAAATACTTTTTAAAATCTGCTGACCACACAAAGCTTGCCTGTCAGATGTGCAAGATAATAATGTCCAACACAGTCAACATGAGCACTCATCCCACAAAGGCATGAAAAAGGACACACACACCGCAAAAACTGCCATGAGACCAAACAGCACAGAGATCTTTTTCTGCCCCCTTCCATAAACCAGTGTGCAGACGGGTGGATCTCCCACGGCACTCAGAGCTTTATCACAAAAGCAGCACACATTATGAGGAGTAACTGAGATGGCTAGTTACTTCTTGCAGACTGTTTGCACTGCACACAGGACATAATGTTATTCCTAAACTAGCTGTAGTGGACTGGGCCATATCACAAGTTAGTCTGATTATACATTGTTATCTTTGAACTTTTGAACTGTACTGGATTAACTTGAATCATGTTGCCCATAACTGTGTATTGAATCATACTGAAACACATCATCTCATCCCTGTAAAGCGCTGCACAGTGATCCATAATACTCAGAAAGACTTGCACAGCTCTGGAACATTGCAGCAGTCATTTTATCTTCTGTCACATTGTTGTAGAAATGTTTACATTAGAGGTTAATCCACCAGGAATGTATTTGAATGGCCAATGTAACATCTCACAAGTTGAGCCAGATTCGACTTTTTTGTCAAAAAGGCCTGTGTTTCTTCCTGGTATCTCATGCATCAGCACCCC